ATATTATCTGTGTTGGTACGAAGTCCGCCGGGTATTTATCAGCTGAACTAATTCTATACCGCAGATTTCCCCGCGCCGGTACTCCAAACGCCAAATCGGTGCTGAAGATGGTGACCTTTAGACTCCAGAAAGCGTCACCCACCACTGTACTGGATTACTACCACGAGGGCTCGGCTGATGCGCCAGGTATGTGGAAGAATTCCCTTCTTCATGGCATGTTAAAAAACCGGCCAATGCGAGTCGAACTTGCGCACTGATAGTTCCGTACAAACTTGTGGGTATGGAGATAGATCGATTGTTTTTTTTTTATCCACAATGAGGAAGCTCTTGGCCTGCACCTCACTTGATGAAAAGTGATGATTAGGCCGAAGGTGTAAGAGCTTCACTCACACACACACGGAATTCTCATTATACCAATATTATTATCAAAAAATATTGGACACTTAAATTTTTATTTGTCAATCAAAGAATTTCGAAGTTATGGTCTGTTAAATTCCGCGTGACGTCATATAGTGCTACACACCTTGACGTCACGTGTTCTTCTTTCGAACTTTGGCGCGCTTTATCTCTTTCAATTTTCATTAGTTTGTAAAAGTGAAAAATACGTGTCGAGTATTTTTTGGAAAATTAACTGACGGATTAATTCAAACTCTTGATTTTCCCAGTAGCCTTATTCACGTAACAAAACTTCAATGACAACAAATTGCTGAGTTGCGATCCTATCGAGTAATCGTTCTATCAAAAATGACCCTTGTGAATATGGATTAAGAACTTTTTTCAATGGGATGACTTCTGAACGTCAGCGAGATCTTGACTGTCAAAATACGTGAATTAGGCCACAGGTAACATCCCTAATATTGTATCTTTTCAGTACTGGACAGCGACTCCACAGAAGTGACGGACATCCGATGGTACGAGTTACGTACACCCTTGAAGGAAGCCTTCCCGTGGTTTGAGTACTTAGCCAGAGTGGGGTGGACGCCTTGTGGGAAATTGTGAGTTTATTTCTTTACTAGCTGTGCCCCGCGGTGTTACCCGCGGTAAAACGCAGCTTATGTATAAATCCAGGATGTCACCTAGCTCTATACCAAATTTCATTGAAATCGCTTCAGCCGTTTAGACGTGAAGAAGTAACAAACATACACACTCTCAAACTTTCGCCATTATAATATTATTGTGATAGTTGTACCCGCGACTTTGTTCGCGTTAAAATAGTTTGAATATTTTTTCCCGTTTTTGCAACATTTTTCTTTACTGCTCCGCCCCTATTGGTTGTAGAGTGATATTATACAAGGTGGAAACGATAAGTGATCTCACTCGACTGTTTCTAAACTATACAATATCGAAAAACTGGTTACTGATTATGAAAGTGCTTCATAAGTTCTATCAAAATCGATCAATAATAGGTATCAGAATAAACTGGATCTATCCGAAAATTGAGTGTTTCAAGCTTTCATACATTTAGCAATAGAAGGACGCCACTTCGAACAATATTGGAAGTGTTAAAAAAGTTTAATTAAATATAGATCGTTTCATCCACTCGGACGCGCCCCACCAATTTTTGGTCTCGGTCGCGCTGGGTGCGGATCCGAGCAATCCGAGCGGCATTATTGTAGTGTGCGTGTGCACTCATGGATTATTTAGCGTGTACCCCCCCATTCTTCCGCTAATGTTTGGGTGTTATACCACAGAATAATAATAAGTACTACGTACAGAAGCTTTTCTTCGCGAAGGTATTTAAAAAAATGTATGCTCAATGTCATTAACAATATGGTGTAATTTAGCCTGTCTCAAGAGTCAAGCACCATTTTGTTGATAAACGTCAGTGATCGGCACTGCGCCGAAGCTATAGGGCTGACTTCGGTAAAATGATGTGACGTGAGGTGCCAAACTGCGGAAAATATTAACTACTTATTTACCTCTCAGTGTCTTGAGGCAACTTAAAAAAGTACATTCTGTGTTTTTATTATTATTTAGGCAGTTAAATACTGCACAGTAGGTATTTAGTACACCATTTTCTTTATTTTCTTCCATCATGCACAAGAATACGCGTGCGTGAGTCAATGTTCGCTCGTATGTGAGGCCTTATGGAATAGTATCCTGTAGGTGGGCCATCGTGCGTGTTTTTTTTTTTTTTCGATGTAAACTCGCGGAGATGAACAGGCCTGATTATACTCAAACATTAGCACGTCTTTCATCCACTTCATATTCACCCACTATAGGACCCTGTATACGTATTTTTTACACCCGGTATTCATTATAACAAACCTTCTTTCCAGCGTCTGGGTCCAACTCCTGGACCGCAAGCAGCAGCGTTTGGAGTTGGCCCTCATCCCGGTGGAACAGTTCAGCACACCAGTCACTTACGAGAACGCACCGCCGCACCTACGGAACCCCTCGCCGGTCGCTAAGGAACCCTTGGATCAGGTACTTGACGTTTTAGGAATAACTCTAAATCCAAAACTCCAGTAGACCCCGAGTCGAGCAATTCAGTACACCATTCAATTACGAGAACGCACCGCCGCACCTACGGAACCCCCCGCCGGTGGCTAAGGAACCCTTGGATCAGGTACTTAACGTTTTAGAAATAACATTGGATTCAAAACTTCAGTGGAACAGTTCAGCACACCAGTCACTTACGAGAACGCGCCGCCGCATCTACGGAACCCCCCGCCGGTGGCTAAGGAACCCTTGGATCAGGTACTCTAACCGTATATTAGGAATAATGGATTCAAACCCCAATGGTCGCACTCACGTACTTACGGAACCCCTCGCCGGTGCCTAAGGAACCCTTGGAATAGGTAGTCAATAATAATGTAGGAATAAACCTGGATTCAAAAGTCCAGTGGACCCCCAGTCGAGTAGTTCAGTACACCAGTCACTTACGAGAACGCACCGCCGCACCTACGGAACCCCCCGCCGGTGGCTAAGGAACCCTTGGATCAGGTACTTAACGTTTTAGAAATAACATTGGATTCAAAACTTCAGTGGAACAGTTCAGCACACCAGTCACTTACGAGAACGCGCCGCCGCATCTACGGAACCCCCCGCCGGTGGCTAAGGAACCCTTGGATCAGGTACTTAACGTTTTAGGAATAACTCTAAATCCAAAATTCCAGTGAAACAGTTCAGTACAACCGCTCACTTACGAGAACGCGCCGCCGCATCTACGGAACCCCCCGCCGGTGGCTAAGGAACCCTTGGATCAGGTATTCTAACCGTATATTAGGAATAATGGATTCAAACCCCAATGGTCGCACTCACGTACTTACGGAACCCCTCGCCGGTGCCTAAGGAACCCTTGGAATAGGTAGTCAATAATAATGTAGGAATAAACCTGGATTCAAAAGTCCAGTGGACCCCCAGTCGAGTAGTTCAGTACACCAGTCACTTACGAGAACGCACCGCCGCACCTACGGAACCCCTCGACGGTGGCTAAGGAACCCTTGGATCAGGTATTCTAACCGTATATTAGGAATAATGGATTCAAAACTCCAATGGTCGCACTCACGTACTTACGGAACCCCTCGCCGGTGCCTAAAGAACCCTTGGAATAGGTAGTCAATAATAATTTAGGAATTATCCTGGATTCAAAAGTCCAGCGGACCCCCAGTGGAGTAGTTCAGTACACCAGTCACTTACGAGAACGCGCCGCCGCACCTACGGAACCCCTCGCAGGTGGCTAAGGAACCCTTGGATCAGGTACTTAACGTTTTAGGAATTACCCTTGATTCCAAACTCCAATGGTCGCACCCACGTGCCTACGGAACCCCCCGCCGGTTGCTAAGGAACCCTCGGAACTCTAACTGTTTTCTTAGGAATTACTCTGGATCCAAAACTCCAGTGGACCTCCAGTCGAGTAGTTCAGTACACCAGTCACTTACGAGAACGCACCGCCGCACCTACGGAACCCCTCGCCGGTCGTTAAGGAACCCTTGGATCAGGTACTCTACGTTTTAGGAATAACATTGGATTCAAAACTCCGGTGGAACAGTTCAGCACACCAGTCACTTACGAGAACGCACCGCCGCACCTACGGAACCCCTCGACGGTGGCTAAGGAACCCTTGGATCAGGTACTTAACGTTTTAGGAAAAAAATTGGCTTAAAAACTATTGGAACCTTATCCGAGCAGTTCAGTACAACAGTCACTTACGAAAACGCACCCCCGCACCTAAGGAACCTCTCGCCGGTGGCTAAGGAACCCTTGGATCAGGTACTAAACGTTTTAGGAATAACTCTAAATCCAAAATTCTAGTGGAACAGTTCAGTACAACCGGTCACTTACGAGAACGCACCGCCGCACCTTCGGAACCTCTCGCCGATGGCTAAGGAACCCTTGGATAAAGGTTTTAAACCTTTTTTTTGTCACCTGTCATCCGCTTTGCAATGGAGGGAAGTCGAACCTTAATTTCGAACTCCTCCCATGTTCTTTTGATTAATTTCGTTGCGGGTCCAATGACAGTTTAACTTTCCCCCGGGACAAACTTGACCTTCATTGGTTGGGTTTTTGTGGCGGTCAAGCTGTAGATCCTGGCTACAAAGGAGTTGCAGTGGTGGGAACGAGAGGTGGGAATAGTCCCGTAAAGTACCTATTCACCTAAAAATTGATTCACCCAGCTAAACAAATGCGTGTTTATTATTCTTGTGCACTTTTATCACCCCTACAAATCAACCCCTTCCAGAAGCCGCAAGACATCCAAGTGCTAATATCGGAATCGGCGCCAGACGCGTGGATCAACGTCCACGACATACTACACTTCCTGCCCAGCGCGCCAGGCGAGGCCAGCTTCGTCTGGGCCTCGGAGGAGACGGGCCACCTGCACCTGTATCTGGTCACGTGCGCCATAAACCGGCGCGAGCCAGCTTGTGAGTATACCATTCTACTTGTCTCTCCTGTCCTCTCCTCTCTCCTGTCCTCTCCTCTCTCCTGTCCTTTCCTCTCTCCTGTCCTCTCCTCTCTGTGCGCCATAAACCGGCGCGAGCCAGCTTGTGAGTATACCATTCTACTTGTCTCTCCTGTCCTCTCCTCTCTCCTAGTTATCTCCTCTCTTGTCATCTCTCTCCTATCCTCTCCTCTCTTGTCATCTCTCTTCTCTCTTGTCCTCCTCTCTCCTGTCCTCTCCTCTCTCCTGTCCTCTCCTCTCTCCTGTCCTCTCCTCTCTCCTGTCCTCTCCTCTCTCCTGTCCTCTCCTCTCTCCTGTCCTCTCCTCTCTCCTGTCCTCTCCTCTCTCCTGTCCTCTCCTCTCTCCTGTCCTCTCCTCTCTCCTGTCCTTTCCTCTCTCCTGTCCTCTCCTTTCTGTGCGCCATAAACCGGCGCGAGCCAGCTTGTGAGTATACCATTCTACTTGTCTCTCCTTCCTCTCCTCTCTCCTAGTTATCTCCTCTCTTGTCATCTCTCTCCTATCCTCTCCTCTCTTGTCATCTCTCCTGTCCTCTCTCCTCTCCTCTCTCCTGTCCTCTCTTCGCTCCTGTCCTCTCCTCTCTCCTGTCCTCTCCTCTCTCCTGCCAGCGCGCCAGGCGAGGCCAGCTTCGTCTGGGCCTCGGAGGAGACGGGCCACCTGCACCTGTATCTGGTCACGTGCGCCATAAACCGGCGCGAGCCAGCTTGTGAGTATACCATTCTACTTGTCTCTCCTGTCCTCTCCTCTCTCCTGTCCTCTCCTCTCTCCTGTCCTCTCCCCTCTCCTGCCAGCGCGCCAGGCGAGGCCAGCTTCGTCTGGGCCTCGGAGGAGACGGGCCACCTGCACCTGTATCTGGTCACGTGCGCCATAAACCGGCGCGAGCCAGCTTGTGAGTATACCATTCTACTTCTCTTCGTCTCTTCTCTACTGGACGTCCTATGGCTGAGCGGTCTGATCAGACAGAGCGCGAGCGGTCTGATCCTGACACAAGTTGGTAAAACCAGGCCTGTTCATCTCCGCGAGTTTACATCGAAAACAAAACACGCACGATGGCCCACCTACAGGATACTATTCGACAAGGTCTCACATACGATACGAGCGAACATTGACTCACGCACGCGTATTGTTGTGTATGACGGAAGAAAATAAAGAAAATGGTGTACTAAATACTGTGCAGTATTTAACTGCCTATACAGGGTGTTGATTTCAATACCCGCCATATTAAGGGAGTTGATTGTGAGTATACCATTCTACTTGTCTCTCCTGTCCTCCTCTCTCCTCTCTTCTCTCCTGTCCTCTTTCTCCTCTCCTCTCTCATGTCCTCTCCCTCCTGTCCTCTCCTCTCTCATGTCCTCTCCCTCCTGTCCTCTCCTCTCTCCTGTCCTCTCCTCTCTCCTGTCCTCTCCTCTCTCCTGTCCTCTCCTCTCTCCTGTCCTCTCCTCTCTCCTGTCCTCTCCTCTCTCCTGTCCTCTCCTCTCCCCTGTCCTCTCCTCTCTCCTGTCCTCTCCTCTCTCCTGTCCTCTCCCCTCTCCTGTCCTCTCCTCTCTCCTGTCCTCTCCTCTCTCCTGTCCTCTCCTCTCTCCTGTCCTCTCCTCTCTCCTGTCCTCTCCTCTCTCCTGTCCTCTCCCCTCTCCTGTCCTCTCCTCTCTCCTGTCCTCTCCTCTCTCCTGTCCTCTCCTCTCTCCTGTCCTCTCCTCTCTCCTGTCCTCTCCTCTCTCCTGTCCTCTCCCCTCTCCTGTCCTCTCCTCTCTCCTGTCCTCTCCTCTCTCCTGTCCTCTCCTCTCTCCTGTCCTCTCCTCTCTCCTGTCCTCTCCTCTCTCCTGTCCTCTCCCCTCTCCTGTCCTCTCCTCTCTCCTGTCCTCTCCTCTCTCCTGTCCTCTCCTCTCTCCTGTCCTCTCCTCTCTCCTGTCCTCTCCTCTCTCCTGTCCTCTCCCCTCTCCTGTCCTCTCCTCTCTCCTGTCCTCTCCTCTCTCCTGTCCTCTCCTCTCTCCTGTCCTCTCCTCTCTCCTGTCCTCTCCTCTCTCCTGTCCTCTCCCCTCTCCTGTCCTCTCCTCTCTCCTGTCCTCTCCTCTCTCCTGTCCTCTCCTCTCTCCTGTCCTCTCCTCTCTCCTGTCCTCTCCTCTCTCCTGTCCTCTCCCCTCTCCTGTCCTCTCCTCTCTCCTGTCCTCTCCTCTCTCCTGTCCTCTCCTCTCTCCTGTCCTCTCCTCTCTCCTGTCCTCTCCTCTCTCCTGTCCTCTCCCCTCTCCTGTCCTCTCCTCTCTCCTGTCCTCTCCTCTCTCCTGTCCTCTCCTCTCTCCTGTCCTCTCCTCTCTCCTGTCCTCTCCTCTCTCCTGTCCTCTCCCCTCTCCTGTCCTCTCCTCTCTCCTGTCCTCTCCTCTCTCCTGTCCTCTCCTCTCTCCTGTCCTCTCCTCTCTCCTGTCCTCTCCTCTCTCCTCTCCTCTCCTCTCTCCTGTCCTCTCCTCTCTCCTGTCCTCTCCTCTCTCCTGTCCTCTCCTCTCTCCTGTCCTCTCCTCTCTCCTGTCCTCTTCTCTCTCCTGTCCTCTCCTCTCTCCTGTCCTCTCCTCTCTCCTGTCCTCTCCTCTCTCCTGTCCTCTCCCCTCTCCTGTCCTCTCCTCTCTCCTGTCGTCTCCTCTCTCCTGTCTCCTCTCCTGTCCAATCCTCCCTCCTGTCCTCTCCTCTCTCCTGTCCTCTCCTCTCCTGTTCTCTCCTCTTTCTTGTCCTATCTACTCTTCTCTCACTTGTCATCTCTCTCCTGTCTGTCTTCTTGTCCTCCCTCTACTGTCCTCTTCTATCCCCGTCCTCTCCTCTCCTGTCCTCTCTTATCCTCTCCACTCCTCTCCTGTTCTCTCTCCTCTCTTGAAGAGACAGTCGCACCTGTATCTGGTTAGCGGCGCGAGCCAGCTTGTGAGTTTGAATCCAAGATCATTTATTGTCAGAAACTAAAAACTCCTTGGGATTCTATTGCCGGTCAAGCTGTAGATCCTAGCTGCTGATGATCCTAGATAGCTAGCTGCTGCATCCCTGCAACTCCTGTGTAGCCAACAGGAGTTGCAGGGATGCAGCAGCTAGCTATACAATTCTAGGTCTCTTCTCTTTTGTTCTTCCTCCGTGCTAGCTTCATTTGGGCTTCAGAAGAAACTGAGCACCTGAGTAGTGGACGTCTTGTGACTTAAATTATTATGATCATGTTCAAAAATATATCTTATTGCATGGTTCGTAAAGCGCAACTTCGCCCGCAACGGTTCTTGACATGATGCGCGTCAAACCACCCTTTTCGATCAAAAACAGTCCTTATTGCAACCTGTATAAAGTATAATCTCCCCCGCAGATAACAGACAAAGGCCTGGTGGCTAGCCTGTACACGTTAAGCATAGACCCCTCTTTTGAATCTAAAATTGATCTTATTACATGCGACATAGAGCGCATTTTCGCCCGTAGCGGTTCTAAATAGAATAGAATAGTTTATTTCAAAGAATATGGTTACAACAGTTCTTAAAATGACAAAGTTCTACATATTATTCTGCTGTATTTTGTTGGCGTAATTGTCTGGCTATGATGATGCGAGTCAAACCCTTTCAGATCATAAACAGTCCTTATTGCAACCTGTATAAAGTGTAATCTCGCTTGCAGCGGTGCTGGACATGATAACGGACGAAGGCCCAGCGTTGGGCCCGCACATACTGAGCCGGGAGCCGATCACAGCTGGTGACTGGGAGATCATGGGCAGGAAGATCTGGGTACGTTATCTGTGTATCTGTTACAGTCAAAACTCGTAATCGGTCAAAACCACTTTTGACTGCAAAAATCAGTCCAAATTTTTTGAACAAAATTTGTAGAGAATTTTGTATTCTACAATATTGATAATAAATACAAATAGAAAAAACCCATAGGAAATGAGATATTTCCAAAAAAAGCGCAAAAAACCGATTTTTGTGACCTTTGACCTTAAAATTTAATAGCAGTTGCTTACACCCTACCATGTGTAGGTTTTGAGACAACTTTTAGGGTGTCAATATACAACTATTTACAGACTTACAGCTGGGTATCTCGAATTCCGAGATTCTTACCTAATTTAAGCTTTAATGACTGGACTAGTAGTCGTATTTAAGCATATTAAGCGAGTCGGCCAGTTCGACACCTTCACCGTTCGGCTTCGATTCTATTACGCTTCGATTAATTCACGTTTCTGTTGCAGGTAGACGAAGCCCGCCAGCTGGTTTACTTCCTAGGGCTCCGCGAGACGCCGCTGGAGCGCCACCTGTACGCGGCGCCGTACAACCCGCCGCGACCGCACGCGCCCACGCTGCTGACCACTGTCGGCCACTCGTGCGCGGTGGATATTGACGAGGTGAGACCTTGTCCTACTAGGTGGACCGACGATCTGGTAAAGGTCGCGGGAAGAGCCTGGATGCGGGCAGCGCAGGACCGCTCATTGCGCAAAACCTTGGGCGAGACCTTAGTCCAGCAGTGGACGTCATTTGGCTGAAACGAACCAACGAGCACCTTGTTGTGTAGGTAGTAGGTCTAGTTTAGCGTGTACATCTTAGAGCCCCGCGAGACACCTATAGAGCGCCATCTTTACGTGAGACACTCGTGCGCAGTGGATATTGACGAGGTGAGACCTTGTCCTACTAGGTGGACCGACGATCTGGTAACGGTCGCGGAAGATCCTGGATCCTGGATGGATAGATAGTAAGTCTATTTTAGCGTGAACTTCTTAGGGCTCCGCGAGACACCTATAGAGCGCCATCTATACGTGGCATCTGACACTCGTGCACAGTGGATATTGACGAGGTAAGGTCACTTTCAGAGCTCGACGGATTAGGCCCGGTTTCCGCCAAGGCGGAGCGGAGCGGAGAAGAGAGGAGATGTGTCGGGCGGACGAAGTTTTCTATAGAATTTGACAGCAGCATTGGTGCGGCGCGGAGTGGTTTTGTGCGGAGCGGAGAAGAGATGTGTAAATAATGAAAACTGCTTGGTTATCCAAAACACACTGCTGACCACTGTCACTAAAAGCTTTAGGAGCGAGACACCTATTATAGAGAGAGAGAGCCATCTTTACGTAACGGTCGCGGGAAGATCCTGGATGGATAGATAGTAAGGTCTAGTTTAGCGTGAACTTCTTAGGGATCCGCGAGACACCTATAGAGCGCCATCTGTACGTGAGACACTCGTGCGCAGTGGATATTAAACGGGTGGGTCTTGTTGTGTAGGGAGTAAGGTCTATTTTAGCGTGTAGTTCTTAGGGCTTCGCTAGACGCCACTAGAGCGCCATCTGTTAGGAGAGCCTTAGGAGTGAGACACCTATAGAGCGCCATATAGAGAGAGAGCCATCTTTACAATCGTGCGCAGTGGATATTGATGAGGTAAGGTCACTTTCAGAGCTCGACGGATTAGGCCCGGTTACCGCTAAGGCGGAGCGGAGCGGAGAAGAGAGGAGATGTGTCGGGTGGACGAAGTTTTCTATAGAATTCGACAGCAGCATTGGTGCGGCGCGGAGTGGTTTTGTGCGGAGCGGAGAAGAGATGTGTAAATAATGAAATCTGCTTGGTTATCCAAAACACACTGCTGACCACTGTCACTGAAAGCCTTAGGAGTGAGACACCTAGTATAGAGAGAGAGAGCCATCTTTACACTGGTGCGCGGTGGATATTGACGAGGTGAGGGCTTGTTGTGTAGACAGTAATGTGGGGCAGCTAGTACACTTCCTAGGGCTCCGCGAGACGCCGCTGGAGCGCCACCTGTACGCGGCGCCGTACAACCCGCCGCGACCGCACGCGCCCACGCTGCTGACCACTGTCGGCCACTCGTGCGCGGTGGACATTGACGAGGTGAGACCTTGTCCTACTAGGTGGACCGACGATCTGGTAACGGTCGCGGGAAGAGCCTGGATGCGGGCAGCGCAGGACCGCTCATTGTGAAAAACCTTGGGGGAGGCCTTTGTCCAGCAGTGGACCTTATTGTACTTCTTAGGGTTCCGCGAGACACCTATAGAGCGCCATCTTTACGCAGTGGATATTGCCGAGGTGAGGCCTTGTTGTGTAGGTAATAAGGTCTATTATAACGTGTAGTTCCTAGTGCTCCGTGAGACACCTAAAAAGCGCCATCTATACGTGGCATCTGACACTTGTGCGCAGTTGATATCGACGAGGTAAGGTCACTTTCAGAGCTCGACGGATTAGGCCCGGTTTCCACCAAGGCGGAGCGGAGCGGAGAAGAGAGGAGATGTGTCGGGCGGACGAAGTTTTCTATAGAATTTGACAGCAGCATTGGTGCGGCGCGGAGTGGTTTTGTGCGGAGCGGAGAAGAGATGTGTAAATAATAAAATCTGCTTGGTTATCCAAAACACACTGCTGACCACTGTCACTGAAAGCCTTAGAGTGAGACACCTATTATAGAGAGAGAGAGCCATCTTTACACTCGTGCGCGGTGGATATTGACGAGGTGGGTCCTTGTTGTGTAGACAGTAATGTGGGGCAGCTAGTACACTTCCTAGGGCTCCGCGAGACGCCGCTGGAGCGCCACCTGTACGCGGCGCCGTACAACCCGCCGCGACCGCACGCGCCCACGCTGCTGACCACTGTCGGCCACTCGTGCGCGGTGGATATTGACGAGGTGAGACCTTGTCCTACTAGGTGGACCGACGATCTGGTAACGGTCGCGGGAAGATCCTGGATCTTGGATGGATAGATAGTAAGGTCTAGTTTAGTGTGTACTTCTTTGGGCTCCGCGAGACACCTATAGAGCGCCATCTATATGTGGCATCTGACACTCGTGCGCAGTTGATATCGATGAGGTAAGGTCACTTTCAGAGCTCGACGGATTAGACCCTGTTTCCGCCAAGGCGGAGCGGAGCGGAGAAGAGAGGAGATGTGTCGGGCGGACGAAGTTTTCTATAGAATTTGACAGCAGCATTGGTGCGGCGCGGAGTGGTTTTGTGCGGAGCGGAGAAGAGATATGTAAATAATAAAATCTGCTTGGTTATCCAAAATACACTGCTGACCACTGTCACTGAAAGCCTTAGAGTGAGACACCTATTATAGAGAGAGAGAGTGCGCGGTGGATATTGACGAGGTGAGACCTTGTCCTACTAGGTGGACCGACGATCTAGTAACGGCCGCGGGAAGATCCTGGATCCTGGATGGATAGATAGTAAGGTCTATTATAGCGTGTACTTCTTTGGGCTCCACGAGACACTTATAGAGCGCCATCTATACGTGAGACACTCGTGCGTAGTGGATATTGACGAGGTGAGACCTTGTTGTGTGGGTAGTAAAGTCTATTTTAGCGTGTACTTCTAAGGCTCCGCGAGACACCTAAAGAGCGCCATCTATACGTGGCATCTGACACTCGTGCACAATGGTTATTGACGAGGTGAGACCTTGTTCTACTAGGTGGACCGACGATCTGGTAACGGTCGCGGGAAGAGCCTGGATCCTGGATGGATAGATAGTAAGGTCTAGTTTAGCGTGTACTTATTAGGGCTCCGCGAGACACCTTACGTGAGACACTCTTGCGCAGTGGATATTGACGAGGTGAGACCTTGTCCTATTAGGTGGACCGACGATCTGGTAACGGTCGCGGGAAGATCCTGGATGGATAGATAGTAAGGTCTATTTTAGCGTGTACTTCCTATGGCTCCACGAGACACTTTTAGAGCGCTGTGTCCATGACATCTTACACTCGTGCGCAGTGGATATTGACGAGGTGAGGACACTTTCAGAGCTCGACGGGTTAGGCCCGGTTTCCGCCAAGGCGTAGCGGAGCGGAGAAGAGAGGAGATGTGTCGGGCGGACGAAGTTTTCTATAGAATTTGACAGCAGCATTGGTGCGGCGCGGAGTGGTTTTGTGCGGAGCGGAGAAAAGATGTGTAAATAATAAAATCTGCTTGGTTATCCAAAACACACTGCTGGCTGACCACTGTCACTGAAAGCCTTAGAGTGAGACACCTATTATAGAGAGAGAGCAATCTTTACACTCGTGCGCGGTGGATATTGACGAGGTGAGACCTTGTCCTACTAGGTGGACCGACGATCTAGTAACGGCCGCGGGAAGATCCTGGATCCTGGATGGATAGATAGTAAGGTCTAGTTTAGCGTGTACTTCTTTGGGCTCCGCGAGACACCTATAGAGCGCCATCTTTACGTGAGTCACTCGTGCGCAGTGGATATTGACGAGGTGAGACCTTTTTGTGTAGGTAGTAAGGTCTATTATAGCGTATACTTCTTAGGGGAGCCTTAGGAGAGAGATACCTATAGATAGAGCGCCATCTGTACGTGAGTCTCTCGTGCGCAGTGGATATTGACGAGGTGAAGTCACTTTCAGAGCTCGACGGATTAGGCCCGGTTACCGCCAAGGCGGAGCGGAGCGGAGAAGAGAGGAGATGTGTCGGGTGGACGAAGTTTTCTATAGAATTTGACAGCAGCATTGGTGCGGCGCGGAGTGGTTTTGTGCGGAGCGGAGAAGAGATGTGTAAATAATGAAATCTGCTTAGTTGTCCAAAACACTTCTCTACTCCTCTTTGGTGGAAAGTAGGCCTTAATGCCGATGCGGCAGCAAGTTCCTGTAGTGGAGGCCACGTACCGGAATCAGCGTGGGACGTCCACCCACAAGGTGGACCGACGACTTCATGAAGGTAGCAGGAAGGCGCTGGATGCAGGCCCCTACCAACCGGTCATTATGGAAATCATTGGGGGAGGTCTATGTTCGACAGTGGATCCTATGATTCTGTATCATTAGTATAGTTTGTTATCCCAAATAAAATAAAATAAAATATAGTCTGGTCGCCGAGCACGTAGAATTTTGTCCAATGGCCCCAAGCTACCCATCCTTATCGCTCGCGCGTAATTATATTGCTGTCGCGACTGTGCGACGGGCGCCCGCAGTGAGTGTGCGAGCGCGACAGCAACATAATTACGCGCGAGCGATGAGGATTACGTGCTCAGAGACCGGGCTTTAGTCTTCTTTTAAAACTAGCGATCCACCCTTGCTTCGCACAGGTACAATGTATTCGAAATCCGTTGCGTAGTTTTAAAGATTTAAGCAAACATAGGGACAGACAGCGGAAAGCGACTTTGTTTTATACTATGTAATGAAGATGCCAACGATTTAATTTCAACCTGTATAATCTTGTCACATAACCACTGTGTTTGTCTACAGGACTGCACAACGGCGGTGGTGACCAGTTCATCCATCAGCAGCGTGCCAAGAACACGGGTCTACCGCTTGGCGCACTCGCCGCCAAGACTGCACGCGCAAGGCACACTATTGGAGCGCGCAGGTTAGTGTTGTACAACTATCAGTGCAGTCTACGCACAGACATTGCCCGCGGAGAGAAAGGCGAACGTTCTGCAAATGAACGAGCAATGTTCGATTCACGAGCGTACAATGGTCTTTCTTGTAACCAAAGTGATATTTCACTTTGGTTATCACTTTTTATACACTCCACTCGCTACTTTATTTCTACATTTCCACTATAAGTACATACAAGCTATTGATATCCAATGCTGTCGGTTCCAGTATCAATGTTGTCCTATAACGTGACAGAGCACACATTCAAAATTCCCTACAACATCTTCACAACACGTCTTTCTTACAGTTGGAATAAGGTTGTGTTGTCAACTTTGAGGCCACTTTGGGTGTCACGAACTATTTGACTCTGACTGTACAACTTTTTTTTCTTTACAACGTTAAAATAGATCTATTGTCACAGAATCACCCGAGACGCGCAGTTTCAACGGCTCGTGGGACAGCCGGTCCGGCGACGGAGACGATACCGATTGCAGCGACACCGGCATGCTTATACGAGGTAGGTGGGGATTGTCATCATCAGTAGCCTTATTCACGTAACAAAACTTCAACGACAACAAATCGCTGAGTTGCGATCCTATCGAGTAATCGTTCTATCAAAATGACCCTTGTGTATACGGATTTAGAACTGTTTTTCAATGGGACGACTTCTAAACGTCAACGAGATTTTGACCACATGTCGTCTATAGATTAACACTTAACTCAGTCAATGCTTAGGTATGGGAAGCAGCACGGGAGGATGTTTTTGTGACGGTCAAAAGTCAGCGAGACTTCAGATTTGTGTGCCCTGTCTGTCACGTCATAGTATGTTAATGTCACCCTTCCCATGCCGCTCCCATATCTCAGGCACTCACTGAGTAAAGCTATAGTTTCCAATGCAGAATCACGACCACGACTAAACCAGAGGCAAATAAAAATCCTCCATTTGTTATTTACCTTATTTAATAAGTTATCATCATCATCATCATCATCATGTCAGCCACAGGACGTCCACTACTGAACATAGGACTTCCCCAATAATTTCCACAATGACCGGTTGGTGGCGGCCTGCATCCAGCGATTTTCTGCTACCTTTATGGGGTCGTCGGTTCACTTTGTGGGTGGATGTCTCACGCTGCGTTTTCCGGTACGCGGCCTCCACTCCAGAACCTTGATGTCCCATCGGCCGTCAGTTCTGCATACAATGTGCCCTGCCCATTGCCACTTCAGCTTGCTAATCCGTTCGGCTATATCAGCGACTTTAGTTCGTTTACGGATTTCCTCATTTCGATTTTCGATCTCGTAAATAAACACCGAGTTTCCGATTAGTGTTGCCGAAAAATCGATTGACAATTAATCGATTAAGCATCATCTTAACTTTAATCTTTACTTTAACTTTAATCGGTTTTTTCGTACGGAGTTGGTGCAATCCGTGATTTATGAAATGTATTTATGAAAGTATATTCAAAGTACATAATTTTTTTTACTATGAAAAAGTCAGAAAAGTTACAATAATACAATTTTACGAATAACGGATGCAATATTTGTGTGTTACCTACTCAGATCAGACATACTCTGTTTTCCAAATAAACCAAAACAAACACATATCATTCCAGAAAACTCGCTATCCGTCCACGACATACCGCCCGCGCAGATATTCACTACGCGTCTCTCGTGCGGCGCGCCCGCCTACTGCTCGCTGTGGCGCTGCGCCCGCCCGGGGCGGAGCCCTACCGTGCTGCACGTGTACGGCGGGCCCGAGGTGCAGACCGTCACCAACAGCTACAAGGTGAGCGAGAGAGAGACTTGTGAAATTGGATCCATTAAGTGTTTTCAAAATCTACATCAATGGAGCATGATAGCCACTAGTGGTTCGTCAACATGGCCACTAGTGTCTATTGTGACCTTTCCTTGAAGCAACGAGTGCAGACTGTCACCAATATCTAAAAGGTAAGCGAGAGACAGACCTCTAAAAATAGATCAAAAATTACAAGCATAGTGTTCACTTAAGGGGCATGATAGCCACTAGATATAGCCACTGATAGTGGCTAGATGCGGCCACTGAAAGTGGCTAGATGCGGCCACTGACAGTGGCTAGATGCGGCCACTGATAGTAGCTAGATGCGGCCACTAGTGTACAAAGTACAGTTTATTGCAAGCAAGCATAAAACCAAATGTTATTTACGCTTTGCTAGTTGACATTATTTATTTTGTTAAATCTACGATTAGTTCACTGCTGCCTTTATTAGTGTGCACACACATTACATCATTGTATCAAGTCGAAACAGTAAATCAAGTATTTCAAGTCTTCGAGTGTTGTTATTATCAAGATCACCCAAGATACATCAATTTAATGTATGGACCAGTCAAGGGCTCATACAACTAGTGTCTCGTCAACATGGCCACTAGTGTCTATTATGACCTCTCCTTGAAGCTACGAGTGCAGACCTAGATTATTTCATCCACTGGTGGCTTGACATGTCCACTACAAGCCACTAGTGTCTAGATATGACTACTGATAGCTACTAGAAGTTCAGAGCTAGATATGGATAGTGATACAAGTGGCTATGACGTCACACGCGGCTGTCGTGCGGCGCGCCCGCCTACTGCTCGCTGTGGCGCTGCGCCCGCCCGGGGCGGAGCCCTACCGTGCTGCACGTGTACGGCGGGCCCGAGGTGCAGACCGTCACCAACAGCTACAAGGTGAGCGAGAGAGGGACTTGTGAAAGTAGGCCTTCCCAAACCAATCGTCTGCTAGCTGAAAGTTTACCAATAGGGTACTCTTAATGTGCTATGATAGCCACTAAGTGTGGCTACTGACAGTAGCTAGATGCGGCCACTGATAGTAGCTAGATACGGCCACTGATAGTGACTAGATGCGGCCATCGATGGTAGCTAGATGCGGCCACTGATAGTAGCTAGATGCGGCCACTGATTGTAGCTAGATGCGGCCACTGATTGTAGCTAATGCGGCCACTGACAGTAGCTAGATGCGGCCACTGATTGTAGCTAGATGCGGCCTCTGATAGTAGCTAGATGCGGCCTCTGATAGTAGCTAGAAGCGGCCTCTGATAGTAGCTAGATGCGGCCACTGATAGTAGCTAGATGCGGCCACTAGTGTCTCATCAACATGGCCACTAGTGTCTATATGACCTCTCCTTGAAGCTACGAGTGCACACCTAGATAGTTTCATCCATTGGCTTGACATGTCCACTACAAACCACTAGTGTCTAGATATGACCACTGATAGCTACTAGAAGTTCAGAGCTAGATATGGATAGTGATATAAGTCGCTATGACGTCACACGCGGCTGTCGTGCGGCGCGCCCGCCTACTGCTCGCTGTGGCGCTGCGCCCGCCCGGGGCGGAGCCCTACCGTGCTGCACGTGTACGGCGGGCCCGAGGTGCAGACCGTCACCAACAGCTACAAGGTGAGCGAGAGAGGGACTTGTGAAATTGGATCCATTAAGTGTTTGAAAATCTACATCAATGGAGCATGATAGCCACTAGTGGCTCGTCAACATGGCCACTAGTGTCTCTATTTGACCTTTCCTTAAAGCAACGAGTGCAGACCGTCACCAATAGCTACAAGGTGAGCGAGAGAGACTTAAGAGAGAGAGCCAACCATGTGCTGGTTGAAAATCTACTTATGGCGGTCACTAATGGGGCATGATAGCCACTAGACGTGGCTATCTGATGGCCACTAGTGGCTCTACATGGCTACTAGTGACCCGACATGGCCACTAGTAGCTCCACGCAGTCACTAGTGGCTTGACACAGTCACTAGTAGCTTGACACAGCCCTAGTGGCTTGACACAGCCACTAGTGGTTCGTCAACATGGCCACTAGTGTCTCCATATGACCTCTCCTTAAAGCTACGAGAGCAGACCTAGATTATTTCATCCACTAGTAGCTTAACATGGCCACTAGTGACCCGACATGGCCACTAGTGGCTCGACACAGTCACTAGTAGCTCGACACAGTCACTAGTGGCTTGTCAACATGGCCACTAGTGTCTCTGTATGACTTCCCCTTGACATACCCTTGCATACCTAGACAGTTTCATCCACTGGTGGCTTGACATGGCCGCTACAAGCCACTAGTGTCTAGATGTGGCCACTGAAAGTTACTAGAAGTTCAGAGCTAGATATGGATAGTGATATAAGTGGCTATGACGTCACACGCGGCTGTCGTGCGGCGCGCCCGCCTACTGCTCGCTGTGGCGCTGCGCCCGCCCGGGGCGGAGCCCTACCGTGCTGCACGTGTACGGCGGGCCCGAGGTGCAGACCGTCACCAACAGCTACAAGGTGAGCGAGAGAGAGACTTGTGATATTGGTGCCTGTTTAATGCTTGAAAATCTACATCAATGGAGCATGATAGCCACTAGTGGCTCGTCAACATGGCCACTAGTGTCTATTGTGACCTTTCCTTGAAGCAACGAGTGCAGACTGTCACCAATATCTAAAAGGTAAGCGAGAGACAGACCTCTAAAAATAGATCAAAAATTACAAGCATAGTGTTCACTTAAGGGGCATGATAGCCACTAGATATAGCCACTGATAGTGGCTAGATGCGGCCACTGAAAGTGGCTAGATGCGGCCACTGATAGTAGCTAGATGCGGCCACTAGTGTACAAAGTACAGTTTATTGCAAGCAAGCATAAAACCAAATGTTATTTACGCTTTGCTAGTTGACATTATTTATTTTGTTAAATCTACGATTAGTTCACTGCTGCCTTTATTAGTGTGCACACACATTACATCATTGTATCAAGTCGAAACAGTAAATCAAGTATTTCAAGTCTTCGAGTGTTGTTATTATCAAGATCACCCAAGATACATCAATTTAATGTATGGACCAGTCAAGGGCTCATACAACTAGTGTCTCGTCAACATGGCCACTAGTGTCTATTATGACCTTTCCTTGAAGCTACGAGTGCAGACCTAGATTATTTCATCCACTTGTGGCTTGACATGTCCACTACAAGCCACTAGTGTCTAGATATGACTACTGATAGCTACTAGAAGTTCAGAGCTAGATATGGATAGTGATATAAGTGGCTATGACGTCACACGCGGCTGTCGTGCGGCGCGCCCGCCTACTGCTCGCTGTGGCGCTGCGCCCGCCCGGGGCGGAGCCCTACCGTGCTGCACGTGTACGGCGGGCCCGAGGTGCAGACCGTCACCAACAGCTACAAGGTGAGCGAGAGAGAGACTTGTGATATTGGTGCCTGTTTAATGCTTGAAAATCTACATCAATGGAGCATGATAGCCACTAGTGGCTCGTCAACATGGCCACTAGTGTCTATTGTGACCTTTCCTTGAAGCAACGAGTGCAGACTGTCACCAATATCTAAAAGGTAAGCGAGAGACAGACCTCTAAAAATAGATCAAAAATTACAAGCATAGTGTTCACTTAAGGGGCATGATAGCCACTAGATATAGCCACTGATAGTGGCTAGATGCGGCCACTGAAAGTGGCTAGATGCGGCCACTGATAGTAGCTAGATGCGGCCACTAGTGTACAAAGTACAGTTTATTGCAAGCAAGCATAAAACCAAATGTTATTTACGCTTTGCTAGTTGACATTATTTATTTTGTTAAATCTACGATTAGTTCACTGCTGCCTTTATTAGTGTGCACACACATTACATCATTGTATCAAGTCGAAACAGTAAATCAAGTATTTCAAGTCTTCGAGTGTTGTTATTATCAAGATCACCCAAGATACATCAATTTAATGTATGGACCAGTCAAGGGCTCATACAACTAGTGTCTCGTCAACATGGCCACTAGTGTCTATTATGACCTTTCCTTGAAGCTACGAGTGCAGACCTAGATTATTTCATCCACTTGTGGCTTGACATGTCCACTACAAGCCACTAGTGTCTAGATATGACTACTGATAGCTACTAGAAGTTCAGAGCTAGATATGGATAGTGATATAAGTGGCTATGACGTCACACGCGGCTGTCGTGCGGCGCGCCCGCCTACTGCTCGCTGTGGCGCTGCGCCCGCCCGGGGCGGAGCCCTACCGTGCTGCACGTGTACGGCGGGCCCGAGGTGCAGACCGTCACCAACAGCTACAAGGTGAGCGAGAGAGAGACTTGTGAAAGTAGGCCTTCCCAAACCAATCGTCTGCTAGCTGAAAGTTTACCAATAGGGTACTCTTAATGTGCTATGATAGCCACTAAGTGTGGCTACTGATAGTGGCTAGATGCGGCCACTGACAGTAGCTAGATGCGGCCACTGACAGTAGCTAGATGCGGCCACTGACAGTAGCTAGATGCGGCCACTGACAGTAGCTAGATGCGGCCACTGATAGCTACTAGAAGTTCAGAGCTAGATATGGATAGTGATATAAGTGGCTATGACGTCACACGCGGCTGTCGTGCGGCGCGCCCGCCTACTGCTCGCTGTGGCGCTGCGCCCGCCCGGGGCGGAGACCTACCGTGCTGCACGTGTACGGCGGGCCCGAGGTGCAGACCGTCACCAACAGCTATAAGGTAAGTGGGTAGCAGACCTCTGAATTTACATAAACGGTGCTCATTAATGGGGCATGATAGCCACTGATAGTGGCTAGATGCGGCCACTGATAGTAGCTAGATGCGGTCACTGATAAAAGCTAGATGCGGCCACTGATAGTAGCTATATTTGGCCACTGATAGTAGCTAGATGCGGCCACTGATAGTAGCTATATTTGGCTACTGACAGTAGCTATATATGGCCACTGATAGTAGCTATATGTGGCCTCTGACAGCAGCTAGATGTCGCCACTGATAGTAGCTAGATGCGGCCACTGATAGTAGCTAGATGCGGCCACTGACAGCAGCTAGATGCGGCCACTGATAGTAGCTATATGTGGCCATTGATAGTAGCCATATGTGATCACTGATAGTAGCTAGATGCGGCCACAATAGTAGCCATATTTGGCCACTAATAGTAGCTAGGAGTTCTTAGCTAGATATGGATAGTGATATAAGTGGCTATGACGTCACACGCGGCTGTCGTGCGGCGCGCCCGCCTACTGCTCGCTGTGGCGCTGCGCCCGCCCGGGGCGGAGCCCTACCGTGCTGCACGTGTACGGCGGGCCCGAGGTGCAGACCGTCACCAACAGCTACAAGGTGAGCGAGAGAGAGACTTGTGAAAGTAGGCCTTCCCAAACCAATCGTCTGCTAGCTGAACGTCTACCATATAGGGCACTCTTAATGTGGTATGATAGCCACTAGATGTAGGCACTGATAGTGGCTAGATGCGGCCACTGATAGTAGCTAGATGCGGTCACTGATAAAAGCTAGATGCGGCCACTGATAGTAGCTAGATACGGCCACTGATAGTAGCTAGATGCGGCCACTGATAGTAGCTAGATGCGGCCACTGATAGTAGCTATATGTGGCCTCTGATAGTAGCTAGATGCGGCCACGATAGTAGCCATATTTGGCCACTAATAGTAGCTAGGAGTTCAAAGCTAGATATGGATCATATAAGTGGCTATGACGTCACACGCGGCTGTCGTGCGGCGCGCCCGCCTACTGCTCGCTGTGGCGCTGCGCCCGCCCGGGGCGGAGCCCTACCGTGCTGCACGTGTACGGCGGGCCCGAGGTGCAGACCGTCACCAACAGCTACAAGGTGAGCGAGAGAGAGACTTGTGATATAAGTGCCTGTTTAATGCTTGAAAATCTACATCAATGGAGCATGATAGCCACTAGTGGCTCGTCAACATGGCCACTAGTGTCTATTGTGACCTTTCCTTGAAGCAACGAGTGCAGACTGTCACCAATATCTAAAAGGTAAGCGAGAGACAGACCTCTAAAAATAGATCAAAAATTACAAGCATAGTGTTCACTTAAGGGGCATGATAGCCACTAGATATAGCCACTGATAGTGGCTAGATGCGGCCACTGATAGTAACTAGTTGCGGCCTCTGACAGTGGCTAGATGCGGCCACTGATAGTAACTAGTTGCGGCCTCTGACAGTAGCTAGATGCGGCCACTGACAGTAGCTATATTTGGCCACTGATAGTAGCTAGATGCGACCACTGATAGTAGCTAGATGCGGCCACTGATAGTAGCAATATGTGATCACTGATAGTAGCTATATTTGGCCACTGATAGTAGCTAGATGCGGCCTCTGATAGTTGCTAGATATGACCACTGATAGCTACTAGAAGTTCAGAGCTCGATATGGATAGTGATACAAGTCGCTATGACGTCACACGCGGCTGTCGTGCGGCGCGCCCGCCTACTGCTCGCTGTGGCGCTGCGCCCGCCCGGGGCGGAGCCCTACCGTGCTGCACGTGTACGGCGGGCCCGAGGTGCAGACCGTCACCAACAGCTACAAGGTGAGCGAAAGACAGACTTAAGAGAGAGAGCAACCATTTGCTGGTTGAAAATCTACTTATGGCGGTCACTAATGGGACATGATAGCCGCTAAATGTGGCTACATGATAGCCACTAGTAGCTTGACATGGCCACTAGTAGCTTGACACAGCCACTAGTGGCTTGACACAGCCACTAGTGGCTTGACACAGCCACTAGTGGCTTGACACAGCCACTAGTGGCTTGACGCAGCCTCTAGTAGCTTGACGCAGCCACTAGTAGCTTGACACAGCCACTAGTGGCTTGACGCAGCCTCTAGTAGCTTGACACAGCCACTAGTAGCTTGACACAGCCACTAGTAGCTTGACACAGCCACTAGTAGCTTGACACAGCCACTAGTAGCTTGACATAGCCATTAGTAGCTTGACACAGCGACTAGTAGCTTGACACAGCCACTAGTAGCTTGACACAGCCACTAGTGACTCGTCAACATGGCCACTAGTGTCTATATGACCCCTCCTTGAAGCTACGAGTCCACACCTAGATTAATTCATCCACTGGTGGCTTGATATGGCCACTAGTAGCTTGACACAGCCACTAGTGACTCGCTAACATGGCCACTAGTGTCTATTATGACCTCTCCTTGAAGCAACGAGTGCACACCTAGATAGTTTCATCCACTGGTGGCTTGACATGTCCACTACAAGCCACTAGTGTCTAAGTGTGGCTACTGAAAGTTACTACAAGTTTAGAGCTAGATATGGATAGTGATATAAGTCGCTATGACGTCACACGCGGCTGTCGTGCGGCGCGCCCGCCTACTGCTCGCTGTGGCGCTGCGCCCGCCCGGGGCGGAGCCCTACCGTGCTGCACGTGTACGGCGGGCCCGAGGTGCAGACCGTCACCAACAGCTACAAGGTGAGCGAGAGACAGGCCTGAGAGAGAGAGAGCAACCGTTTGCTGGTTGAAAATCTACTTATGGCGGTCACTAATGGGACATGATAGCCGCTAGATGTGGCTACCTAATAGCCACTGGATGTGGCTACCAGATAGCCACTAGTGGCTCGATATGGCTACTGGTAGGCTGTGTATGTACAAAGTAAGTGAAAAACAGATATCTAGTTTTGGTTCTCGACGGTCACTAGTTGAAATCATGCATCAAACATGATAAAATGTAACTAGCTGGAGGCTCAATATACCCAAAAGGAAACTAAGAAGCCCTATTAAACCTTTTCTTTTTTGTCCACAGGGCATCCGCCAACTCCGCATGCATATGTTAGCAGCGCGTGGGTTCAACGTAGTTGCGGTCGATTCGAGGGGCTCGAAGCACCGCGGGCGCGCGTGGGAGGCTGCTATCAAGGGCAAGATGGGGCAGGTGGAGCTTGACGACCAGGTGATCATCATCAGGGCATTTATACGTCTAGCCCTTAACTGCCTCAGTGCCGGAGGTATGGTAGCGGCACGAGAGTGGTGACATTGACATTATGACGTGACAAAGCATACAAATCTGTAGTCTCGCTGACGTTTGATATTTCAAAAATACCCTCCCGTGCTGCTTCCACCATACCTTCTGAGGTAATTCAATATGAGTAAATTTCAGACACTGATTCCAAATTCTAACGTATCGGTTTTTTGTGGGACCCTGCAAACGGGATGTTCGTGTGAATGCTAATATTAAAACACTTTAGTACTAAATGGGATCTTGCAAATAACATTTCATGCAAAAAAACGGGATATCTCCTTGGGAAAATGCCATACCAACTCTTAAGGCCGCCTTCACATTAGGGCAAGAAGCGCGACAGCAGCGGCATTTTTATAATGTGAAGGGGCATCCGCTGTCTTATAAATAGTATGAAATTATCGGCAGCGCGTCTGTCGCGCTGCTAAACTCGCCTAAATGTGAAAGCGCTCTAAGAGTGATTTTTATCATAATTCCGTTAACCCCTCGTCGGAAGCTAAATACCTGAATATTAATAAAGTACTGTTTGTTCCAGGTCGAAGTATTGCAATGGCTGGCCAAAGAAACTGGCTGTATCGACATGGAAAGGATCGCGATACACGGCTGGAGTTACGGTGAGACGACGCTCGAAAATATACTTTATTTAGAGACGATTAAAAGCTAATTTCTATACTGTATTTCTGTGACTCAATAGGTGTGTCATGAACTTCTATTGTGACACAACAGTTGGGTCAGGATGTAACATGAAAATGAAATAATATCATTTCAATCTAAAAATTTTTACTCACAACGAGAAAGCTTATGTGCCTGCCGTGCAACTGATGCAAAGTGACGATGAGAACGAAGGTGGAAGCTATCTTACCTGAAATCCTCAATCACAGAGCAACTGGCCATTTTGGCGATATTTTCAATTCGAGTAACAAAAAAATATTTATTTATTTAAAGGCACAACCACAGAATACAATTCAATAAAATTACTATGATAACTTAACTAGGTTTCACATTTAAATTATTTATATTTAATTTTTTATTACCTAAAAATCTTAGCAACAGTTCAGATAACGACACATCAAGCTAAAAATGGTGGTATCTTATGCAGTTGTAACACTGACGATTTTGCACCACAAATTTAATCTATGTAAAGTGTGTATTTACAAAAAAAAAAGTATTTAAGTATGTTTATATCCGTTGTCTAGTACCCATAGTACAAGCTTTGCTTAGTTTGGGACTAGAAGCGCAGTGTAAAATGTCCAAGGATATTTATTTATTTATTACGCAAAAATGATAGTAAAAGTTCAGATAACGAAACATCAAGCTAAACTCAAGAGGATTTAAGACACTAATTAAATCAAAGATGTAAGGGCTAAATAATGTAATAATAAAATAGATAAATAAAACATGGTGGTATCTTATGCAGTTGTAACACTGACGATTTTGCAACAGAAATGTACAATCTATGTAAAGTGTGCAGCAAAATAAACAAGTACCCTTCGTTTCCAGGTGGTTATCTCTCGCTCCTCGGCCTAGCAACGCGTCCGAACATATTCAAAGTGTGCGTGGCTGGCGCGCCTGTCACCAGCTGGCGTCTCTACGACACCGCCTACACCGAGCGCTATATGGGCCTGCCGTGCGCGGCGCCGCATGCCTACACGCGGGCCAGCGTGCTGGCTCACGCTCCATTCTTCCCTGACCAGTAAATATTATTATCTAGTCTTAAAAAATACATGACTCAACAGGTGTGTCATCAATATGTACCATGACACGACAGTTGTGTCACGAAATATTAGTATCTAATTTAATTTAAAAACTTTTTTCACGACTCAATAGGTGTGTCATCAACGTGACACGACAGTGGTGTCATGATAGATTAGCATCTCTCTAACACTGAGCTAGGTGTGTAATCAATTGGAACCGTGACACGACAGTTGTGTCCGAAATATTAGCATCTCTCTAGGCTGTATTATAACCAGCTGGCGTCTCTACGACACCGCCTACACCGAGCGCTATATGGGCCTGCCGTGCGCGGCGCCGCATGCCTACACGCGGGCCAGCGTGCTGGCTCACGCTCCTTTCTTCCCAGACCAGTAAATATTATTATCTAGTCTAAAAAAACTTTTTTTTTTCATGACTCAATAGGTGTGTCATCAATATTTACCATGACACGACCGTGGTGTCATGATAGATTAGCATCTCTCTAACACTGAGCTAGGTGTCTCATCAATTGGAACCGTGACACGACAGATATATCACAAAATATTAGCANTCATTTTTTCATGACTCAATAGGTGTGCCATCAACGTGACACGACGGTGGTGTCATGATATTTTAGCATTTTCTAGCAGCGAACTCGGTGTGTCATCAATAGGAACCGTGACACGACAGTTGTGTCCGAAATATTAGCATCTCTCTAGGCTGTATGATAACCAGCTGGCGTCTCTACGACACCGCCTACACCGAGCGCTATATGGGCCTGCCGTGCGCGGCGCCGCATGCCTACACGCGGGCCAGCGTGCTGGCTCACGCTCCATTCTTCCCTGACCAGTAAATATTATTATCTAGTCTTAAAAAATACTTTTTTTTCATGACTCAATAGGTGTGTCATCAATTGGACCGTGACACCACAGTTGTGTCACGAAATATTATCATCTATCTGTATGATGATTAGCTGGCGGCTCTACGACATGTAAGCTTATCAATTAGCTTAGGTAATTATGGGCTTACACGCGAGCTAGCGTGCAGGCTCACGCTCCATTCTTCCCTGACCAGTAAATATTATTATCTAGTCTTAAAAATACATGACTCAACAGTTGTGTCATCAACGTGACACGATAGTAGTGTCATGATATATTAGCATCTTCTAGCAGCGTGGTGTGTCATCAATGAGGGCTATCGTTTTAGCGCTCACCAGTTTGCGCCACTGTAGAGTAAGGTCTTGTCACTTGCTAGTAGCGAAGACAGTGGCGCCAACTGGTGAGCGCTAAAGTGGTAGGAGGACTATCGCATTTGCACTCATTAAGATGGCGCCACTGTAGAGTAAGGTCCTGTCAATCGCCAGGGGTGCCAACTGTTAGGTATAAAAACGATAGCCCTCATTGAAACCGTGACACGGCAGTTGTGTCCGAAATATTAGCATCTCTTTAGGCTGTGTGATAACCAGCTGGCGTCTCTACGACACCGCCTACACCGAGCGCTATATGGGCCTGCCGTGCGCGGCGCCGCATGCCTACACTCGAGCCAGCGTGCTGGCTCACGCTCCATTCTTCCCTGACCAGTAATTATTATTATCTATTCTAAAAAAAACTTTTTTTTTCATGACTCAATAGGTGTGTCATCAATTGGACCGTGACACCACAGTTGTGTCACGAAATATTATCATCTATCTAGGCTGTATGATGATTAGCAGGCGGCTCTACGACATCTAAGCTTATTAATTAGCTTAGGTAATTATGGGCTTACACGTGAGCTAGCGTGCTGGCTCACGCTCCATTCTTCCCTGACCAGTAATTTCACATTTAAATATTACTATCATTTAAGACGCGAAAGAAAAAACGTTTTTTGTTTCGTGACTCAACAGGTGTGTCATCAACGTAACACGACGGTGGTGTCATGATATATTAGCATCTTCTAACACCGAGCTAGTTGTCTCATCAATTGGAACCGTGACACGACAGTGGTGTCACGAAATATTAGCATCTCTCTAGGCTGCATGATGACTAGCTGGCGGCTAGTAGGTGTGTCATCAATTGAACCGTGACACCACAGTTGTGTCATGATATTTTAGCATCTCTAGCACCGAGCTAAGTGTGTCATCAATTGGTACCATGACACGACATTTGTGTCACGAAATATTAGCATTTCTCTACGCTGTATGATAAGTATGATAACCAGCTGGCGTCTCTACGACACCGCCTACACCGAGCGCTATATGGGCCTGCCGTGCGCGGCGCCGCATGCCTACACGCGGGCCAGCGTGCTGGCTCACGCTCCATTCTTCCCTGACCAGTAAATATTATTATCTAGTCTTAAAAAATACATGACTCAACAGGTGTGTCATCAATGTGTACCATGACACGACAGTTGTGTCACGAAATATTAGCATCTAATTTAATTTAAAAACTTTTTTCACGACTCAATAGGTGTGTCATCAATGTGTACCATGACACGACAGTTGTGTCACGAAATATTAGTATCTAATTTAATTTAAAAACTTTTTTCACGACTCAATAGGTGTGTCATCAACGTGACACGACGGTGGTGTCATGATATTTTAGCATCTTCTAGATCCGAGCTAGGTGTGTCATCAATTGGTACCGTCACACGAAAGCTGTGTCACGAAATATTAGCATCTCTCTAGGCTGTATGATGAGTAGCAGGCGTCTCTACGACACCGCCTACACCGAGCGCTATATGGGCCTGCCGTGCGCGGCGCCGCATGCCTACACGCGGGCCAGCGTGCTGGCTCACGCTCCATTCTTCCCAGACCAGTAATTTCACATTTGAATATTATTATCATTTAAGACGCGAAAGAAAAAACGTTCTTTTTTTCGTGACTCAACAGGTGTGCCATCAACGTGACACGATAGTTGTGTCAAGATATTTTAGCATCTCTAGCACCGAGCTAAGTGTGTCATCAATTGGAACCGTGACACGACAGTGGTGTCACGAAATATTAGCATCTCTCTAGGCTGCATGATGACTAGCTGGCGGCTAGTAGGTGTGTCATCAATTGAACCGTGACACCACAGTTGTGTCATGATATTTTAGCATTTTCTAGCAGCGAACTCGGTGTGTCATCAATAGGAACCGTGACACAAAAGCTGTGTCACAAAATATTAGCATCTCTTTAGGCTGTGTGATAACCAGCTGGCGGCTCTACGACACCGCCTACACCGAGCGCTATATGGGCCTGCCGTGCGCGGCGCCGCATGCCTATACACGAGCCAGCGTGCTGGCTCACGCTCCATTCTTCCCTGATCAGTAAATATTATTATGTATTTAATTAAAAAAAAAAACATGACTCAACAGTTGTGTCATCAGCGTGACACGATAGTAGTGTCATGATATATTAGCATCTTCTAGCAGCGTGGTGTGTCATCAATGAGGGCTATCGTTTTAGCGCTCACCAGTTTGCGCCACTGTAGAGTAAGGTCCTGTCACTTGCTAGTAGCGAAGACAGTGGCACCAACTGGTGAGCGCTAAAGTGGTAGGAGGACTATCGCATTTGCACTCATTAAGATGGCGCCACTGTAGAGTAAGGTCCTGTCAATCGCCAGGGGTGCCAACTGTTAGGTATAAAAACGATAGCCCTCATTGAAACCGTGACACGACAGTTGTGTCCGAAATATTAGCATCTCTCTAGGCTGTATTATAACCAGCTGGCGTCTCTACGACACCGCCTACACCGAGCGCTATATGGGCCTGCCGTGCGCGGCGCCGCATGCCTACACGCGGGCCAGCGTGCTGGCTCACGCTCCATTCTTCCCTGACCAGTAATTTCACATTTAAATATTACTATCATTTAAGACGCGAAAGAAAAAAAAAAACATTTTTTCATGACTCAATAGGTGTGTCATCGACTTGTACCGTGACGCGATAATGGTGTCATGATATATTAGCATCTCTCTAGCACCGAGCCAGGTGTCTCATTAATTAGTACCGTGACACGACAGTTGTTACACGAAATATTAGCATCTCTCTAGGCTGTGTGATAACTAGATGGGTCTCTACGACACCGCCTACACCGAGCGGTGTATGGGCCTGCCGTGCGCGGCGCCGCATGCCTACACGCGGGCCAGCGTGCTGGCTCACGCTCCATTCTTCCCAGACCAGTAAATATTGTTATCCAATTTAAAAAATACATGACTCAACAGATGTGTCATCAATGTGTACCATGACACGACCGTGGTGTCATGGTATAGGTAATAGCATCTGAGCTAGGCGTGTCATCAATTGGAACCCTGGCACGACAGTGGTGTCACGAAATATTAGCATCTCTCTAGGCTGTATGATAAACCAGCTGGCGTCTCTACGACACCGCCTACACCGAGCGCTATATGGGCCTGCCGTGCGCGGCGCCGCATGCCTACACGCGGGCCAGCGTGCTGGCTCACGCTCCTTTCTTCCCTGACCAGTAATTTCACATTTAAATATTACTATAACTTAAGACGTGAAAGAAAAAAAAATGATATTTTATCGTGACTCAACAGGTGGGTCATCAACGTGACACGACGGTGGTGTCATGATATTTTAGCATCTTCTAGCAGCGAGCTAAGTGTGTCATCAATTGGAACCGTGACACGACAGTGGTGTCACGAAATATTAGCATCTCTCTAGGCTGCATGATGACTAGCTGGCGGCTAGTAGGTGTGTCATCAATTGAACCGAGACACCACAGTTGTGTCATGATATTTTAGCATCTTCTAGCAGCGAACTCGGTGTGTCATCAATTGGACCGTGACACCACAGTTGTGTCACGAAATATTAGCATCTCTCTAGGCTGTAAGATGACTAGCTGGCGGCTCTACGACACCGCCTACACCGAGCGCTATATGGGCCTGCCGTGCGCGGCGCCGCATGCCTACACTCGAGCCAGCGTGCTGGCTCACGCTCCATTCTTCCCTGACCAGTAAATATTATTATGTATTTAATTTAAAAAAAAACATGACTCAACAGTTGTGTCATCAACGTGACACGATAGTAGTGTCATGATATATTAGCATCTTCTAGCAGCGTGGTGTGTCATCAATGAGGGCTATCGTTTTAGCGCTCACCAGTTTTCGCCACTGTAGAGTAAGGTCCTGTCACTTGCTAGTAGCGAAGACAGTGGCACCAACTGGTGAGCGCTAAAGTGGTAGGAGGACTATCGCACTTGCACTCATTAAGATGGCGCCACTGTAGAGTAAGGTCCTGTCAATCGCCAGGGGTGCCAACTGTTAGGTATAAAAACGATAGCCCTCATTGAAACCGTGACACGGCAGTTGTGTCCGAAATATTAACATCTCTCTAGGCTGTATGATAACCTGCTGGCGTCTCTACGACACCGCCTACACCGAGCGCTATATGGGCCTGCCGTGCGCGGCGCCGCATGCCTACACGCGGGCCAGCGTGCTGGCTCACGCTCCATTCTTCCCTGACCAGTAAATATTATTATCTAGTCTAAAAAAACTTTTTTTTTTCATGACTCAATAGGTGTGTCATCAATATTTACCATGACACGACCGTGGTGTCATGATATTTTAGCATCTTCTAGCAGCGAGCTCGGTGTGTCATCAATTAGTACCGTCACACGAAAGCTGTGTCACAAAATATTAGCATCTCTCTAGGCTGCATGATGACTAGCTGGCGGCTAGTAGGTGTGTCATCAATTGAACCGTGACACCACAGTTGTGTCATGATATTTTAGCATTTTCTAGCAGCGAACTCGGTGTGTTATCAATTGGAACCGTGACACGAAAGCTGTGTCACAAATATTAACATCTCTCTAGGCTGTGTGATAACCAGCTGGCGTCTCTACGACACCGCCTACACCGAGCGCTATATGGGCCTGCCGTGCGCGGCGCCGCATGCCTACACGCGGGCCAGCGTGCTGGCTCACGCTCCATTCTTCCCAGACCAGTAATTTCACATTTAAATATTACTATAACTTAAGACGTGAAAGAAAAAAACGTTTTTTTTCGTGACTCAATAGATGTGTCATCAACGTGACACGATAGTGGTGTCATGATATTTTAGCATCTTCTAGCAGCAAGCTCGGTGTGTCATCAATTGGAACCGTGACACGACAGTGGTGTCACGAAATATTAGCATCTCTCTAGGCTGCATAGTGACTAGATAGCGTTCTACGAGGGCGGCACTGAAAATTTCGGGAATCAAGGAAGTGAAACAACATTACTATTTAAAAATGTATTTATTGCTTTTTAAAGTATTCTCCGCGAACTTTGACACATTTTTCCATACACGAAACCAATCATTGAAGCAACCATTGCATTCGGAAGTTTGGGTCTCCAAAATGGCCGTTTTGTAGGCTTCCACAGCTTCTTCAGGTGATGAAAATCTCTGACCACGCAATTTATTCTTAATTTTAGGGAAAGTATAGAAATCATTAGGGCTTAGGTCGGGGCTGTACGGCGGATGGACTAATAATCCTATGTTTTCTTGCTCTAAAAACTCTTTTGTTCAGTGCGCGGTGTGAGAACTCGCATTGTCGTGATGGAGGATGATGCGGCGGTTGCAGTTCTCTTTACGGAGTTCAGAAACGACCTGTGGCAAACAAATGCTAGCATACTAATCTGCATTAACCGTTCTTTGTCCCCCAAGAGGAATAGTCGCAACATGGCCGGTTTTGGAGACAAACGTGGCCACCATTTTTTTTGCAACACTCCGTGAACGAACAATTTTTGTTGGCTTTAATTCATTTTCGAACACCCAAACTCGTGACTGGTTTTTTGTTTCGGGTTCGTACGCGTATATCCATGATTCGTCACCTGATACGATGTTGTATACAGCATTTGAGGATCCTGCATGTAATCTCCCGAGAGTTCTGACGCACCAAGTAACGCGAGCCGCTTTTTGCTCTTCACAGAGCGAATGCGGTATCCATCGGGAAAACAACTTTTTTACACCTAATTGTTCATGCAAGATTATTTGTATTTGACTCATGCCAATGTCTAAAGTTGCCTGAATTTCGCGGTATATCACATGTCGATCTTCTTCAATCAGCTTACGCACAGCATCAACGTTTTCTTAGGTGACTGCAGTTTTTGGACGACCTTGACGGGGATCATCACTGAGCTTGACACGTCCACGTTGAAATTCAATAAACCAGCGATAAATTGTGGTTTTGGATGGGGCTTCATTACCAAATGCAGAAATCATCCGGTCAACACACTGTTTTTGTGTTAAACCACTTCAAAAGTCATAATAAATCATCGCTCGTGAATTTTCTCGAGTCAATTCCATTTTCTCAACGACTAAACAAGTTTGACAAGACCTTGTGATACGACCGAGAATCTTTTTTTAAATAAATAAATGGTATACGATTTTTAAAACCCTGGAGTTTGCAATTAAATAGATTTTAATATGACTGGAACAGTGGAAATATTCCATTCCCGATACTTTTAGTGCAGCCCTCGTACGACACCGCCTACACCGAGCGGTGTATGGGCCTGCCGTGCGCGGCGCCGCATGCCTACACGCGGGCCAGCGTGCTGGCTCACGCTCCATTCTTCCCAGACCAGTAAATATTATAATTTAATGTAAAAAAAACTTTTTTCATGACTCAACAGGTGTGTCATCAACGTGACACGACATTGGTGTCATGATAGATTATCATCTCTCTAGGTTGTATGATAGATAACTAGCTGGCGGCTCTACGAAACTGCTATGTGGTGTCATCATATTATATTAGTATCTCTTTAGCACTGAGCTTGGTATGTCATCAATTTGTTACTTTGGGTCTTACGAACTATTTGACGCTTACTTTGCTTAGTTTGGGACTAGATGGCGCAGTGTGAAATCTGCAAGGATATTTATTTACAGTGGACCCCCAGTAATCCGCTCCCTGTAATCCGACATGCTTTATATTGTTGATTGTATGTATATAATTTTCGGAAAATTATTTTCTTTGGTTTGCAATTTGTCGGAATACAAGTTACTCTTCTTCGAAAAATTCCGGATTGTAGGGGGTCTTAAAAATTCCGGATTGTAGGGGGTCTTATAGGAAGAATTTTTTAGTATAACAAATCTATATTCCGACACCGCCCAGCAAAACGTTCATCTGATTACCGCGGGCCCACTGTATTCATAAACCAACACTTTGCCCGCAGGGAAGGCCGTCTGCTGATTATCCACGGGCTGGCGGACGAGAACGTACACTTCTGTCATACCGCGGCTCTGCTTGCGGAGCTGGTGCGCCTCGGGAAGCCGCATCGTGTTCAGGTAACTATATAAAGTTCTATCATCATCATCATTTCAGCCACAGGACGTCCACTGCTGAACATAGGCCTCCCCCAATGACTTACATAATGTCCGGTAGTGGCTTCGTTCGTTCGTTCGTTTCAGCCAAATGACGTCTACTGCTGGACAAAGGCCTCCTCCAAGGTTTTCCACAATGCACGGTCCTGCGCTGCCCGCATCCAGGCTCTTCCCGTGACCTTTACGAGATCGTCGGTTCACCTAGTAGGAGGCCTGCCCACGCTACGTCTTCCAGCCCGTGGTCGCCACTCGAGAACTTTTCTGCCCCAACGGCCATCGTCTCTACGAGCTATGTGCCCCGCCCACTGCCGGTAGTGGCTTGCACCCAGCTAAGTTTATGAGGTTTTCAGTCCTTTTAATGAGTGGACATCCCACGCTGCACTTTCCGGTAAGGGCCTCCAGAATCTTGCTGCCCCATCGGCCGTCAGTTCTGCGTGCTATGTGCCCTGCCTGGCTACTTCAGCTTGCTAATATACGATACGAAGTTGTGCAAACAGCTGATTTTCGTTCGTCGTTTCGAAAATATTTAGCGCAATCGGGTTGCTGGTCTTCATGACGGTTGAAGGGCAATTAACTATACTAATATTATAAAGCTGAAGAGTTTGTTTGTTTGTTTACTTGAACGCGCTAATCTCCGGAACTACTGGTCCGATTTGAAAAAATATTTCAGTGTTAGATAGCCCATTTATTGAGGAAGGCTATAGGCTATACAACATCACGCTACGATCAATAGGAGCAGAGCAACAATGAAAAATGTTGCAAAAACGGGTTTTCACGCGCACGAAGTCGCGGGCACAGCTAAAGCCCGGTCCGTGAGCACGTAGAATTTTGTCCATTGACCCCAAGCTACCCATCCTTATCGCTCGCGCGTAATTATATTGCTGTCGCGACTGTGCGACGGGCGCCCGCAGTGAGTGTGCGAGCGCGACAGCAACATAATTACGCGCGAGCGATAAGGATGGGTAGATTGGGGTCATTGGACAAAATTCTACGTGGTCGCAGACCAGACTATAGTTGAATTCATAATCTTCGGCTTGACACTATTTAATGGGAGCCTGTATGTGAATCGAACCCGTAACCTCTTTCAGATCTACCCGGGCGAGCGGCACTCGCTGCGCGCCGTGCACGCCGCCAAGCACTACGAGGCGGCGCTGCTGCACTTCCTGCACGAGCACTTGTGAACAATACACGACGCAAGCTACATTTGGAGTTTTATTTACCTACACAGATTTTTTTTCTTGATAGGAACTTGAAAAAACCCGGTGAAAGCACTGGACAAAAACTGCGCACGTGACTGGCGAAACTGACGTGCGCCCTCAGTGGCGAAAAACGGCAAGTTCATTGCCATCGACAAAAAAAAAGGCCTAAATTTGCTTCTAAACTGCGAGAAATTGAATATCGTCAGTTTCAATACTATAATAGTTTTCCATATTGTTAGTTTTAGTTATCTTGATATTAGGTACAATATCGAATATAGATTATGCGGCAACACTAGTGAAGGACCTAATAAGTAGCAACACTAGTACAGGATCAATCGATTAAGCAGCAACACTAGTGCAGAATCTATCGATAATGCAGCAACACTAGTGCAGAATCTATCGATAATGCAGCAACACTAATGCAGGATCTATAGATTTTGCAGTAACATTAGTACTGGATCAATCGATTACACGACAATGCCACTACGGAGATCTAACCCGCGCCCTCAAACGTCGCCTGTTGCATAGTGCAAGTTTACATCAAAAGTCTTTACTACTTAGTGACTGCGTAAAAAAAACTACGCAGATGGATTGTACAACGCCCCTAGCGGAAACTTTCAAGAGCTAAAATCTTCATTCATTTTCTAATGCGCACACTAGTGAGGACGTTATGACATAAATATAAATCTTCATATATTTTTTAACATACACGATTTGGAATGCGTTTGATATAAACACACTACGCCCTCTGATCTACCCGGGCGAGCGGCACTCGCTGCGCGCCGTGCACGCCGCCAAGCACTACGAGGCGGCGCTGCTGCACTTCCTGCACGAGCACTTGTGAACAATACACCACGCAAGCTACATCTGAAGTTTTATTTACCTACCCCCAAAAATGTGTTCATAATTCATAGCAAATCTATAGATAAAATGGCGGAACTGTGCGCCCTAAGTAGCGAAAAAACTGCAACTTCATTGGTATCGACAAAAGAAAATGATGACCTTTAAAGTTTGCTCATAAACTGCGAGAAACGACGCTCTGAATAACGTCAGTTTAAATACATTCGATAATAGGTTTCACTCCTTAGTTTTGGGCCATCATCCCAAAAAAAAAAAAACACTATTTTAGGTACAATGTCGAATATCGATTATGCGGCAACACTAGTGCAAGGATCCATTATCCGGCGACACTAGTGAGTTTCTAATGAATATACGGCAATACTAGTGCAAAATCTATCTATTAAGTGGCAACACTAGTACATGATCTATCGATTATGCAGCAACACTAGTGCAGGACCTATCATTATGCGCCATCTAGTGCAGGATCTATCAATTACACGACAATGCGCCTTAAGCGTCGCCTGTTGCATAGTGCAAGTTCATCAAAAGTCTTTACTACTTAGTGACTGCGTAAAAAAAATACGCAGATGGATTGTACAGCGCCCCTAGCGGAAACTTTCAAGAGCTAAAATCTTCAGTAGATTTCGAATGCGTTTGACATAAACACACTACGCCCTCTGATCTACCCGGGCGAGCGGCACTCGCTGCGCGCCGTGCACGCCGCCAAGCACTACGAGGCGGCGCTGCTGCACTTCCTGCACGAGCACTTGTGAACAATACACCAAGCAAGCTACACTTGAACTTTTATTTACCTACCCCCAAAAGTTTCTAATTCACAGAAAACTGTTCGCATTTGAACTGTGCGCCCTCAGTGGCGAAAAACTCTAAGTTCATTGCCATCGACAAAAGAAAATGAAGGCCTTTTGCTCGTAAACTGCGAAAAGCTACACTCTGAATAACGTCAGTTTAAATAAATACTATCGATGATAGGTTTCAATCCTTAGTTTTGGGTACCTTTAGGTACAATGTCGCATCGCATATCGATTATGCAGCAACACTAGTGCAGGATCTATCGATTATCCGGCAACACTACTGGGTTCTGTCGACGATGCCACTTCGGGGATCGAACCTTTTTTTTTCAAAATTTTTATGCCAACTGCCGGAACAAAAAATGGCGTTACATCAATTGATTAATTACATACCTATATCCGGTCTAGTTAACTGCGCACTGGGCGACCGTGACGTCACATCGACGCTTTGTACGGACGCAGGGAAGTGGGAGGGAATAGCATTCCAGCGAGGTGCGGAGTTAGCTTTATCGGGTTATACTCGATTTTAAATAGTCTGCAGATCACGTCTTATTCAGCGAGCTTTGAGCGTCCGGATAACCAAATAAATAAATAAACACCATAGCTGTGTTGTTAATGAATTAATCTTTATTTGAAAATAACCAAAAATCTACATTGCTTTCTAAATACCACAGATTATACTTACAATAATATACAGTTCACTTAACAATTAATTAAACAGCCTATTTTGTACCAGACTAAATTGAAACGGGAAATAATCTACTATAATAGTAATTTTTTAACTAAAATGGTAGTTTTTGAACGAAAATGGTAGTTTTTTGAACAAAAATGGTAGTTTTTTGAACTGAAATTTGTGAATAGTGGAGGTTTGGTGGCACGTTTGGACGTGTTTAGAGGACCTTCTGGAGGTACTCGTCGAATAGGTACAGAGACAGGGACAGGTCCTGCCCGTTGGTAATGAATTTCTTGAGGTCGGTGGTGTGGCCGGCTAATTCGCGGATCGTCTTCGCTTGGTCCTCTACGAATTTCTCTTCCATGTATTGGGCGATCTGTGGGAAGAATAATAGTTAGTTATGCCAAGAATTTTTTTAAATATTTGCAGTGTGCTTAGTGCGAGTTTACACTAAAGATATCTAGCTAGCGACTGCCTAAAAAAGAATTGTACGACAGATTCGTAGCGGATACTTTCAAGAACTAAAATCTTCATAGATTTTTGACGGACTAGCTAGCGACGACGTCCAATGTAATTCGCACTAAGCACACAGATCTCTTATTTTAGTTATTCGTGCCTATTTTTTATGTATTAAGAGTTTAATAATATGAGTTTTGCGAAGGTCTTGAATGGTTCTAAAAACTTCTTATTTTTTTTAGGCCATGGGATATTACGGCCCACAGAATGACCTAAATCTTCTTCAGACTTTTGGTTGTGACATTTGACATGATGACAGTTAAACTTTCCCCCGGGACAAACTTGGCCTTCACTAGTTGGGCATGGACCTATAAAAAAAGGCGGACGGAACTCGCGCTACAACAAAACTGTGACGCAAAATTTTGGCGTCTGTCTATTGTGTAAGTGAATTTAGGGATGCATGTTAGCCAAAACATTTTACCCATTTATTTTAAGAAAAACATAGATCGGCAGATGTTACTTGGAAATGTAGACAGAATTTGTAAAGGATGAAAGGTGAATGCGTTGAGGTAGTGGGTTATCGGCGGTCAAGCTGTAGATCCTGGCTACACAGGAGTTGGGAACAAGAGGTGTGAATAGTCCCGTTTGAAAATCCTTGCAGCAGTGGACGTTTTGCTGAAACGAACGCAACTTCTAGAAAGCTCACCTCAGCATCATGCAACTTGGGGCTGTTCCTGGTGGCTTCGCGATGGATGAAGAAGGCCACCTCGGCCAGCTGTTTCTGCGAGTCCAGAGCCTTGGCCAGAGACTCCAGCTCGTGGAGTTCGACGGTGTAGTTCCTCTTGTCCACTTTCTTGCTGCGTTGGGCGAAGTCCATTGAGTCACCTGGGAGTTGAAATTATAAATAATAATATAAAGTAATAAATAAATAGGTACGTATTTTTGGTCAATTTTACAAAGCGCTAAAAGTTATAAAGCTATAATTGAAGTTGAAGTTGTTTATTTATATAAATTTTCTTGGATATAAAATACTTTTCGTTGATATAATATTATTTTTATTTATATTATTTGAAATTAAATATTTTCTTGGATATTAAAATTATTTTAATGAGTTATACAGGGTGTTTGGTAAATGGGTATATGAGCCGACACTAGCCCATGTTAACATGGGCATATAAATGGTATGGTGAAGTCAGAAATTTGATATCATCATTTTATTTTTTTTAATTTTCATACAAAATAAATTTTATAAAATCCGATTTGTATGAAAAATAAAATAATTAAAATGAAGATATCAATTTTCTGACTTCACCATACCATTTATATAACCATGTTAACATGGGCTAGTGTCGGCTCATATACCCATTTACCTAACACCCTGTATTTTGATCAGTAATTTTTCATGAATATTTAGAACATTTCGGGCTGTCACTTGTGGTTGGGCTACCTTGTATACTTATACTATAGGTCCAGCGCTTTACTCAGTCAATGCCTGAGGTATAGAGCGGAGCGCACGGGGGGGCCCTGATTTGTTGATGGTCCAACGTCAGAGCATCGTATGGGCACTTGTATGCTCACAAATCTGAAGTGTGACGTCATAATGTCCATGTCACTCCTCCCGTGCCGCTCCCATACCTCAGACACTGACTGAGTTACGCGCTAGACCTATACGAAACAATCTGTAAAGAAAATCACTCACCTCTCATAGTGACATGCTTGATCAGATCAATGGTCTTCTCCCACGCATCATCCGACAGTTTCTTGAACAGCTTGCTAAATCCAGCCCTGTTCGTTTGGTAGTTGTTGAAGAAGGCAGCAGAAAGAAGGTATTCGTATGACCTCTCTAGGTGCAGGTTGGCGTAGCCTTTTAGTTCTGTGGCTACCACGCCATGGCGGTCGTAGTCGCCGTAGACCGCGTTACACTTCGGCAGGGCTGGAAGAGAGGTACGTGGATGATATGACTGTGGATGGTGTTAGACATAAAACCCTATGATGGTGAATGTAAATGTACATGCCACCGTAAAATTGTGAATTCCGTCAGATTATAATCTGACGTAGTTAAATTACAATCTAACCTAACCTAACCCACTGTTAGTTTACAATCTAACGCGTTATATTATAAACTGACAGAGTTCACAATTTCACGTTGACATACATAAGATACGTGCCAGCAGAATTAGGAAATTTTACAGGATGGAAAGTGGAAACGTTATTGAT